GGGTGGTCAGGGTGGGGAGCAGGGAACACCAGGTGAGTGACTGATGTCAGAGATGGAGAAGTGGGAGATCAGGAGCATGAATGATCTTCACACTTTGGGGATCTGATAAGCTTTGTGTCAATCCTTTTTTTTCTTTTTAAAATCATTTTATTGGGGGCTCGTACAACTCTTATCACAATCCATCCATCCATCCATTGTGTCAAGCACATTTGCACATTTGTTGCCATCATCATTCTCAAAAGATTTGCTTTCAACTTGAGCCTTTAGTAACAGCTCATTCCCCCCTCCCTCCCTGGTCCCCGCTCCCTCACGAATCCTTGATAATTTATAAGTTATTATTATTATTATTATTTTGATTTGTGTCAATTCTTATCTGCACACTCATATAGAGTGTCTAAAATGAGTATCCCAAAACAGTTGTATATATTTAACACTGAACGTTGCAAAGGAAATATCTAGTAGTGAAAAAGTCTTTTGACTGAAATCCAATCTTTAAAAAAGTGGGCACCAGTTGAAGGAGCCGTTCTTGAAAGAAGCTATCTAAATGGTCAACAAGCACATAAAAAAGGTGTTCAGCATCAAGAGCATAGGGAAATGCAAATCAAAACTACAAGGAGAATCACAATGAAATGCCACCTCACACCCACTGCTGTTGTTGGTTCTGACTCGCCGTGAGCATGAATCCCGGCCCCATCCTCACAGTTCCATGTTGGAGCCCAATGATGCAGCCATTGTATCTCTCCATCCTCTCTTTCGGTTGACCTTCTACTTTACCAAGGAGGGCCTGCTACCTCTTGAAGAAATGTCTGAGGTACTTGAGATAAAGTCTTGCCATCAACACTTCCAAGGATCATTCCGGGTTGGACTCCTATGACAAGAATTGTTTGCTCTTCTGGTAGTCAAAGGTATAGTCAGTATTATTTGCCAACAACACAATTCAAATCCATCTACTCTTTGGGGAGCCTACCCACGAAACAAAAACAAACGCCAGACACTAACAGACGTTGGCTAGGACGTGGTGGGAACGTCGGAGCCCTGGTCCATTGCCCCTAGGGAAGTGAAAAGGCAGAGTCCGGTGAAAAACACAGTTTGGCACTTCCTCAAAGAGTTACAGCAAGTTCACGCCTAAGTCCATATCCCCGCAGAATTAAAAACAGGAATGCAAACAGATACTTCCACACCCGTGTTTATTGCCATCCTCTTCACAATAGCCCAGAGGTGAAACCGTCTAAAGGCCATCAACAAGTGAGGGGATAAAATGTAGTGCAGACATGCATACGTGATACGTGTCCCAACATGGATGAAACTTGAAGACATGCTGAGAGAAAAAAGAGGGGACTTCAAAGTTTGTGGGAAAATGGAAACAAAAGAGAATGGATTTTTCCCACTTTTCTGGCCTTTTTCCTCATGCAGTTTTCCATTTTCTTAAAACAACGTCCTCCTAGGTCCCCCCTGACCTTGTGTCCTTTGTGGAATTCTGCCAAGATCTTTTTGAAGTAGGTCGGTCACAAAAGGATACATTGTACAAGGGTAGGTAAAAAAGTATTGCTACAAAATAATAGGAACTTATAAAAGTATCTAATTAGAAGGCTACTGTTTCTCAATATATCATTCATCTAGTTCTAGATACTTAGGAAGGGAGTGTTTCCCTCTAACACAGCAGTTCTCAACCTGTGGGTCATGACCCCTTTGGGGGTCGAACGACTTCCACAGGGGTCGCCTAAGACTATCTGAAAACACATATTTCTAATGGTCTTAGGAACCGAGACACTGCTCCTTTATCTGTCTCCAGGTGGGTCCACCCACATGCAGATACGCCTACCTACGAGTGCCCCACATGAAGACTGCTACCCATGCCATGCTACACCATGCTTCAAGACAAAATTTCATTGATTTGTCATTAGAAATAAATATTTCACAATATATAATTACATATTGTTTTTGTGATTCATCACGATGCTTTAATGATGTTCAAATTGTAACAATGAAAAAACATCCTGCCTATCATACATTTACATGATGATTCATAACAGTAGCAAAATGACAGGGATGAAGTAGCAATGAAAATAATGTTATGGTTGGGGGGGTCACCACATATGAGGAACTGGATGAAAGGGTCGCGGTATGAGGAAGGTTGAGAACCACTGCCCTAACCTTTCCCCCAAAGCATCCTACACTCTGGTGTACACAACATCAAAACAGCAGCGCTAATGTCCTTGAAGAGACTCATATCGTGTACTTTTTCAACGTTCTTTGAGTTGGGGAGCGAAAGGAAGTCTTCCGGGGGAAAGATCCGGGTTGTGGGGTGGGTGGCGCTAGGTTTCCCAGTGAAATTCCTGTAGTAAAGTCCTTACTACCACCCAAGAATGAGCAAGCTTCTCTCACTGGTGCGGGTTTCCATTTTCTTTAAACATCTTCCTAATAAGCCCCCTTATGACCATCCTTTGTCCTTTGAGAAAAATCCATCAAAATGACCTCTTGGGAATCCTCCATAACTTTTTGAGCTGACCTCTAAGCCTTGACTTGAACTGCCCACCAGAAGCCACTGTTGTGACTGGAACTTTTTTTTTTTTTAAGGCACCCTAAAGAAACCAACACAAGTGTACTGCTACTGAGAGAACTTGTCTGCAGCTGCATGGTTACCTGATGCATGGTTACTGCAGCTGCATGATACAGAGACATGGTTAAGCACAGTTTGTCTGGAATAAGCTGGAACTGTAGGCCTTCATTGGTCTCATATATAAAATCTCTACAACTGGGAAGTGTATAGAGACCAAAGCTTATTAGTGGTTCCCAGGGTGGGCAGGAGGGAGGAGGAGTGGAAGACTCAATGGGCAGAGACACTGCGCTACTAAGAGCGATGGTGGTCGAATCTGGGGACAGATAGTAGTGATGATTGAACAAGGCGATGCACACAGTAACACTGAATGGTATCGTGAAGACTGCTGAAATGGCAAATGTGTTACTACACACGTATGTATAGATGTGTGTGGACTATGAACATTTGAAACATTCCAATCTTGTTATTTGGAGCCCTGAGAGCAAGTGGCTATACACTAGGCTGCTAACCACAAGGCCAGCAGCTCAAAACCAGCAGCAGCTCTGCAGGAGAAAGATGAGGCTTTCTACTCCCATAAAAAGCTAGTCTTGGGGTGGAAAGGGGGAACCAATCACAATGATCTACATATACAGTGAACCCTCGTTTATCGCGGTTAATCGGTTCTAGACCCTACCGTGATAAATGAAATTCCGCGAAGTAGGATTCCTTATTTGTAAATCAAATATTTTCGTAGTTAGAGCATAGAGGACATGAAAAAACACCCTTTAGTCACCATTACACTCGTATTACCCAATTTATTAAACGAAAAAGGGAAAATACAGTAAAACATTTTGGACGTTATAATTATCATTTATTATTTATTATATTATTTATGGCATCAAGCGTGTACAGTATGAGCCAATCAGTGGCAGTAATGACAGAGCATGCGCTGTTACGCAAAAACCGCGATAGAGCGAAGCCGCGGAAGTCGAAGCGCGAAGTGGCGAGGGTTCACTGTAACCTCCTCCCTGGGGAATGGACAACAGAAAAGTGGGTGAAGTGAGACGTCAGACAGTGTAAGATATGACAAAGCAATAATAATTTATAAATTATCAAGGGTTCGTGAGGGAGGGGACAAAATGAGGAGCTGATACCAAGGGCTCAAGCAGAAAGCAAATGTTTTGAGAATGATCATGGCAACAAACGTACAAATGTGCTTGACACAATGGATGGATGGATGGATTGTGATAAGCGTTGTATGAGCCCCCAAAAATGATTGGGAAAAAAAAAAAGTTAGTCTTGGAAACCCACAGGGGCAGTTCTATCCTATCCGCCAGGGTCCTTATGAGTCAGAATTGGGTCGATAGCAGTGAGCTCTATCTTGTTTGGGATGATGGTTACAAACTGCGTCCTCTGTCAAAAAGCAATGCATTTACACTAAAGATCTGTGTCTCATACTGTATGTAAAATATAGCTTAATACATGTAGTTGCTTACAGGGAATAAAGAGTACAATGGGGCTGGCTTTTTTTTTTTTCAAATCCTAAGGATTAAATAAATAAACATAGACACACATAGACACATTCACTAATTTGGCATGGAACTTCATGTGATTTAAAATAGCATCCCCGCGCTCCACCCTCACCCAGGGCAGCCCTCGGCCTGCAGCTCCGATCTACCAGCAAGTAGTCCCCGCTCTTCGCCCGCGGTGGTCAGTACACACGTCCCCGCTTTCTACCGCGGGCGGACCCAGCCCTCAGTGTGTGCAGGCGTCTGTCTTCCAAATCTCCGCGTCGGGAAGCGTGTCGAGGGGCCAGATCCCGAAAGATCTCAGTGGGCCAATGGCGGGTGCTTTTAAATCCCGCAACCAATCACGGCCCAGCGTCAGCTCGTCGGCAGCCAATCACCGGCCGCTCTCTGCTCCCGGCAGAGACGGGTCCTGGGAGGCTCGCGCGCGGCTTCTCTTTGCAGAGCGCTGCCCAAGAGCCACCCGAAAGCGGCCATTGTGTTTGTGGGCAAGCGCGACGCTGAGGCCGGGGAAGCCCGAAAGGCGCCGTCTTTGTTGCGATCAAGGCGTCGCGTCACGGCCTAGACGCTGGTGACAACTGAAGCCGGGATGTCGCCATATTTTGTGAAGGCACCTTCCGGCTCTCCAAGCGGGCTCGCCAAGTCCAGGCGGCCGTGCAGTGCACAAACACCCCCAGCCTTTACTTGTCTCGCATCAGCACCCCCGCATTCCCAGCCCCCAGTCCCGGGCTCGCCAGG